GGGCTCGGGGGGGGGAAGCATATATAAACTACAGAGATAAATGTCTGGGAATGCGGCCATGAAAAGCAAAAAGGGATGGGGGTGAGTGCCCAGAGGGGAAGAAGGATGAGTGAAAAAGAGAGAGGGGGGAGAAAGTGTGTGGGGCTTTAGAATGTATGTGAAATCATGTTAAAAGGGTTTTTTAATTGCATTTCAGAGGTAAAAATTTAAAATGAAAGTGCCTTTCATCTGTTGTGTCTGTTCCTGAAAAATTGGTACCTGAGGGTATGGCAGATGGACAAACTGTAGAGTTTAAGAGTTGGAGGGATTTACTATGTATCAGGTAGTTTTCAGTAACTGTATGTTTTATGTGTACTCTCCTGTGGTATATTGAAGTTAAACAAGGGCATCTTAGCTCTGAATAAACAGGGTTTAACCTGGGATAGTATCAGACACAGGCCTACTCTGTGATAAGACTCATGGAAAGTGATCCCTTCCCCTTTTAACTCAATATAATTTATTTGTCTTTTAGGATAGTATGTGGGCTACTCTTTAGGATCTACTATTACTACTTAAAAATAAAGTTTATAAGAAATGTCTTCTATATGATGGAATACCTAGTTGCAAAAATGTTTTTGCAGATTTTCTGCTGAACTGTTTTAAGGGAATTAAAAATAATTCTCTTAAAGCAAATCAGATGAGAAACTATATTGCATTCAAAATTGAAACTGTGAGATTCAGAAGCAATTTGTTTTTACTTTCTTTTCAGGCATATATCCCACTTTATGCATAATATACCTTTTCCTTCACCTCAAAGGCCAAGGATCCTTGTACAGGTAACTAAAACATCTGCTTCTGCTTCTTGTCATAGTGTTAGGGTGCCCTTCTCTCATTCACTGAAAGCATGAGTTCCTTCAACTTTTCACCTCAGCCTTAAAACTTCCTACACAAGTAACAAAATGTTACTCTCTTATATTCCTGTAATTTTAGATTAGCTAAATACTGTATTTACTCAAATATGAGAGGAGGGTTTTCCCGTCAGTTGGCACAGAGGAAAAAAGTCCTTTGTCTTAAAATCACATACAAGGAAACATTATTCAGTCCATTGGCAATCATTAAACTGCTCCCAAAAGCAGCATGTGCTCAGCAATAGAAACCAACTCTGAAGTTGATTAAATGCAGCCAACATTGAGCATGACTGTAAAGCACCTGACCCATATTGGGCAAACATATTGATGAGAACCATGTTTTTTTTGTGTGGCCCTTTAAAAAGAAAAAAAGAAAAAAGCAGGAGGGGTGGGTTCCTTTTTGGATGGAACTGGCACCGGGCCTTGGAGGTACTGCAATATCAGGCCAGCACTAGGAGGGCCAGAACTAGCCCTGATACCCTCCCTTTGGTGCCACGTGCTACATTTGATTTTGGCTAAAAAGGCCAAGGTACTGATGGGAACCTACCACAAGGATAGGTTAGTGCAGCCCATCTGAAGAAAATATGTGGTAGTAGCCATTAAATACAGTTCCTCTGAGTGCCAACTCTTTTTTCAAGTCATGGTGAGCCACCACATTACCTAATTTCAACTTCCTCTTCACTCCCACATCTGGGCTGCATCCTTCCCATGTCCAGTGATTCCTGTTTCTTCACCAGCCTTAAATGTCTGGCAAACATCAAATGGGGCTCCAAACAGTTCACTAGAATCCCTCTGTTGCTTTCTCTCTCAGCCTAGCATACATGATTAGTGTGGTGGTATCCTCCATGATACGAAGTGGGACCAGGTTGCCCTGTACCTCATCTGCATATAATTTTTACAGCATCCCAGGACTCGTGACAAACACATTTGGTTTCAGTCATGAGTGGGGGGCTAATTAAGTACTCACCTTTGTGGGGGCTATCTAGAGTATACACACATACTGAGCAATGCTATGCCATGGAGTCACCATGGGTTGAAGTCCTGGTGACACTCCTGGAGTCCAGCCCAATGAACTGTATGGTAAATCATGAGCCTCTGGTTTTAAACTAATATCATTCATAGTTTAGTGGTGCTTAAAAGTGTGTTTATGGAGTATCTGTGGTAAAACTTGCAACAGTTTCAAAAAAAAGATGGCATGTATCAATTCTGGATGAGCTAAGTATATGGGTACTGGTATGCAAATTGCTACAGCCAGTTACCATTAAGCAATTATCTTAATTTCAAGGTAATTGCTTTCAAATTTGCTCTTCACTTCTATATGCTCAGGGAGAGCAGAGCTGATAGTAAGAAGAGGGGACAGGAATTGCTGGGGGAAAAATTGGGGGAGCAGAGGGCAACAGGACTACTGAAGGACCACCCATGGGGATGCCAGTTAACTAATTAATTTAGAGGGTCATTAATCCTCTATGACCCACAGGTAGTCAGGTTCGGGGGCATTAAAGTAAGTTAATTTCCCTGAGTACTGATTTATTGCCCGACCCCACACACAGTTAGAAAGAGTAGCTACACACTACACCACAGGTAGGTTGAATAATATAAGCTGTATTACACAACAAAACCCATGCAACAACTACCCAACGCAATATTCCTGTAACACCCAAGCCATAATGCAATAAAATACACCCAGCGGGACAATAACCCAATGCCCCTGGTCACAGAACCAATCAAGTACACATTACAATGAGCTTCGGTCACTACACGGTTAACTGCTGTGCAACTTCACAGACAACCCAGAAACCACAGATGGCAGCAAGAATGCCCTGGACCTAGTCAGCAGGAGAAACCCTCTGACAGTCCATGAGGATTTCTAGTTTTTCCCTGTTAAGGTACTCAGCACCTCAAATTGGGAAAGGGTGATGCTTTACCCAACTGCAGCTTCCACAGCCAAAGCCCAAAGGAAAGGGCGTGAGACAGGTAAGCCTCAGCGAGCTCAATCCCAATGACCAGGTCACAGCAAGGAACTTGCACTCAACAAACTTCTACACCCCAAGAGCCTGGAGTCAGAACTATCTAGCCTGAGTGAGAGTGAGGTCGAGTCCGACCCTGAACCCTGAGAGCTCCTGCTGGCTGCTCCAGACAGGATTTATAGTCTTCTAATCACACCACTTGTCACTCACCCACTGGTCCAATCATCACCCTTTTCACAATACCCACTCAAATTCAAGCCTGGGCAATACTTAAAAGGACCAATCAATTCAAACTATTTCAACAAGCAACATTATCATAATTAACATATCAATATTGATAAACAGTTGCATTACCATTATACACTGTGCATGCACAGACCTTAAAAGTAGGTCATGACTTCATCAAGATTGAGAGTTCAAACCCTCTAGAAACTTCTCACCTCTGGTCATGGCGCATGTATGGACTTTCACTGTTCTACACTACCTGACCCCCCAGATTTATTTTTCCTGCTGTAGCAATAGGAAGGGGATAAATTCAAGGCAAACTTCCAATAATTAGATTCTATACCTGAAAAATGTTATAACAAATTTATACATTTTCCATATGTAGAATCTAATTATTGGTGCAGGGGTTGTCTTCTATTTGAGTAAATATGGATAAAAGTCAAGGAGCGTTATTTTAGATTGCTAATTGTGTAACTGGCAGCAGAATGCTTCTCAGCGTCATCAAATTCCCATCATCCTCCCCCTCAGTTTGCGGGCACCATTTACACTACAAGTTTTTTCTCTCACCTCTCCATACAAGTACAGGTTAGATGAACAGTGTCTACTGGCATGATCTTCAGTACTACTATATTTAATCACTCGGCAGTGGTTGAGTTCAGTGTTGAGTTATAGGCTGTTTCATGTAAACTTTGTGCATCTTATCAGTGACGAATCTGAGTTCTGTTGGCCCAGTGAACAGAAATTAAGGACTATCCCTAATTAACATTTCCCATATTTTATTGTGACTCCTTGTTCTTATTCTGCCTGGCATCCCAACAGAACATTGATATAAACATTAATTGGGACATTGGAAGTGTATTGTCCTTGGGATTGGCCATACAAGTTATTTAACGTTTCCCTGTTTTGCAGCTTTCTGCCCATGACGCATTAATACTGTCTCAACCAGTTTCTACACCTTTACCACTCAGGTAATATTAACTATTTAAATTATATGTGGCTTGAGAAGTTTAACAAAACAATGGATTGGGGATGGGGATGGAAGAAAGGAAAGCATTTTTGCAATGTGTAGAAAATCCCTGCCATGTGAGGGAGTAATCTGGTTTGAATAATAACTATGTCTGAAGCAAAAAATTAGTTTTCTTGCCCACAAACGTTGAAAAAACAAGCAAACAAACCATCTCCCCTCCGCCCCACGCTTTACCAGAAGCAGCAGCATGTTATTTTGACCTGACGTGGCTCTGCAGCATCTGTATAGATTGGGTGCTTCAGCAGGGGTTTTTGGTGCTTTTACATAAAGCTGATTCAGTCATCTATTACAGGGGTTGTCAGCTGGAGGTAGGCGTACCCCAAGGGGTGCCTAGAAAAGTTGTAGGGGATATGCGTGGGTGGGCAGGGACAGAGTGCGCCCTGAGGTGCAGTGGTGGCGTTCGCCTGTTACCCAGGTGTGAGAGAAGAACACGCTGCTAGCCTCACGCAGGACACCATGTCGCCTCCTTGCCCCCCGCCCCAGCTGGCTCTCCTGATTGACCGCTACCTTCTTACAGCAGAGCTGTGAAGTTCTGAACAGTGTGGGGGTAGGAGTGTGTTCTATGCCCACCCTCAGTGGCATGCAATTTGCTGGGTACAGGGCTGGTCAGCAGGCCACGGAACCATGACCGGCCATGGAAAAGCAGTGTGGCATGCAGCCAAGTGGGGTGGCAGAAGTGGGGGCCAGCCATGTGCTGGCCCCCCTCCCAGCACCACTGCTACGCACACCCCTGGGATGGCATGGGGGGGGTGCATGCACCTGGATCAATATGTGGGGCAGGGTGGGCTGCAGATGCGGCTGGAGCCAAGGCAGTGCTGGGCTGTTCCCGGGGGGGGTGCTGGGCTGGGCTGCATTGAGAGAGGTATTGGGGGGCTATGGTGAACTTTGGGATGGCTGTAGCCCCATAGCCCTGCTCCCAGTGCCACTGCCACCTGTCCTAAGTGGAGCCCGGCACAGCCTGCAGCTGCAGCCCACCCTGTTCCCTGTCCAGATCCGGGGGGCACACGCCCCCATACCCTTCCAGGGGTGCATATAGTGGCAGGAGCAGCCACCCCCATGCATAGCCTCCCATACCACATCACTCCTTCCTTCACTTTCTTTGTGAATGGGCTTGGGGGAGGCAGATGGAGACTCCCACAGTGCAGAAGGGAGTGGGGCAGGGATGAATCATTCACCCCTGCCCCTACCCCACTCTGTCCTGCACTGTCCCATGACCCAGCCTGGCCGGGGTCCCATTCACCATAATTGGGGCCCTGGCTGGACCAGGTCATGGGACACTTGGAGCCTGGCACCCCTGAATGAGCTGCCAGGTTCTGATTGTCCTATGACTTGGCCTGGCTGGGGCCCCATACATGTTGAATGGGGTCTCAGCTGGGCTGGGTTGTGGAACAATCCCCACAGTGCGAAGTGAATGATTTGCCCCTGCTCCACTCCCTCCTGTACTGTGAGGAGTCTCAATTCCCCAGCCCCACTCCCTCCCTCACCACTTTCAGGTGGGGGGCAGATTGAGGCCCTCATGGTGAGAGAGGGAGCAGGGCAGGAGCAGGGGTTGGGGTGAGTGGGGTCTCAGCCAAGCCCCAGTCACCCCAGCCCCTGCTCCTCCCTGTGCCCTGCTCCCTCCCTCAGCTCAGGTGCCTCAATCTGCCTCTCTCCCCACAACCCTTTCCCCTTCACCCTCCCCTTCCCCCACAGACTGCTGGGGGGGGGAATGTGCTCAGCCCCCCAAATAATTTTTTCTCCCTCCACCTATGCAGCACCTGCCCCTGCCCCAGCTCCAGCCCCACTCCCTCCCTCACAAGGGCCTTGCTCTCCTCCCTCCCCCTTTAAAAAAAAGAAAAAAATATAAAGGGGTACATGTGCTGAAACTTTGAGACCAAAGGGGCACACTTGTTAAAAAAAGGTTGAAAAACCCTGGTCTATTAAATAAAAGCACCAGAAAAGCGCCACTAAAGTGCCTGATCTCTACAGGCTTTGGGAAAGGTGGGTGCAACTAACACACTGTCTCTTCTGGGTATGTACTAGGCTCAGTGTGGGAGCGTGCCAAGTTTAAAGCAAAGTGCCTTTTTTACTTTTTCCGTGTCTGCAAGCAACAGAAGTTGATGCTGAAAACTGGGCTTTAAGAATCTATTGTTATTGCTTTAAGATTATTTCTTATCCCATTTTTTCCCTTTCCCTTCTAATACATGGGAGAGTGTGGCTGCCAATTCTGAGAAATCAGCTAGTAGGTGTGTGCAAGCATGACAGGAAATGTTAAAACATGTTTGAACAGTCTGTGTTTTGGTGCATTCTCTTAAAATTGGTCTACCTCTCTTGCCCTGGAGCTCAATGCACAAAATTTAAGTTTATGGATTTAGGTTACTTTTGCACATTTTTAAATCAACCTTCATTCCAACTAGACAGCAAGGAGTATTTTCCATGATTATTTTCATATTGGAATCTATATGTGTTACTGTGCTTTTGAAATTTATTTATCTTCAGAGTGGATGTTAGCTGCCAACCAACAAACTTGACAGTGACAGGGGCATGGAGCATAAACATACTCTTGCTTTGGAACACTGGTTTAAACTTTTATTCTTATACATATGAAGTGTTGTGGAATCTGAAATCTCCACATACTATTAGCAAAGAACATGCACAATCTAAACTGTATGGAATCCAGGAAGTTGACCTAAGTAGAGATAAAGCCTTTTGATTCCAAGGAGTGCCCAAAATGTGCTGAAGTATTCCATCTTAAACGGGGATTCCCGTAGCTTTATACCTGGAATATTATCAACCATTAGGAACCGTCGTTTCATGATGCTTGCTGTATTTCTTGGCAAGGTGGGCCTGGATATGTAATGAGAACCTGAAACAAAAAGAATAATTCTCTTTAAAAGATTTTTTTTTCTTGGTTGTTTAGCTTCTGTTTACAGTAGTGAAAATCCTGTATCAAGGTAATTATTGCCTGGCTACGACTGGAATTAGGTGAAGCCATTAACTTCTCTCAGCCAGTCATGGTCTCCAGCAAATACCCAGCACATTGATCACAGTTGCTGTTGCTGCTGTTTCTCTAGCTGTGTTGAATTATTGCTGTTCAAATCCAAGTAACTTTCTATAACTTTCTCCTGGCCCTCCCGCTCCCCCTCCCCAGTGGAGCAAACTTCAGCACCCTGCTAATGAATCTTGGACCAGAAAACTGTGCTACTGTGCTACTCTTTGTACTCTTAGAAGGCAAGATCCTATTGCACTCCCTTAGACCAGCTGTGCTGACGGGTGTAGCTGAAGCTGTAGTAGCTGTAAGTATTGAATATTCTGTAGTGCAGTGAATTATATTACTCCTGACTCTGCAGTGTAATTTTTATCTGTTTTTCATCACTTTCTAGCATTAGTAACAAACTATATTTTGAGATCTGTTAATTATTATGATATACTGAAAACTGGAAAAGTATGCGTTGTGCTGTAAGCACTGTTAAAGAACAGTTCCTAACACAAAGACAAAAATTTTACAGTTTCTTACTAAAGGAGTGTTCCCCTATGCATTAAAATATTCTAACATTTGATTGTAAGATAGGATGATTGAACTCTCTAAATGCCCATTTTATAGTCATAGCACTGTGTTGAAGCCTTTTGTCTGAGTTTTGTTACATTTAAGTCACAGGCAACTGAAGTTTGCTGAAGATATGAGAGGCAACTGTAGGCTGTTTTGAGCTCTTCACTGTGTATTAAGGGTCTTCATATTTTTATTTTGATTTCCTGTATTTGCCAGTTTCACTTGTGTTTATTGCACACAGTCTGTTGTCCTGTTTAATACATGGATTTCATTTCATTTTTTCCTTCAGATGATATTTCCATTCCAATGGCAATGTCCATACATCCCCCTCTGTCCTTTGTCTCTGGCAACGGTGCTCAGTGCTCCTGTTCCATTTATAGTTGGAGTTGATTCACGATACTTTGATCTGTATGATCCACCACAGGATGTTGTTTGCATTGACTTAGACACAAACATGGTGTACATGTAAGTTTGAGATTTTTTTAACTTTTGCTAGTATATACAGTAAAATATCAGAGGTACCCAAAAAAACTAGATACTTTCAAAGAACAATGCTTCAACAGATGTTTCTTAGTCCCGATCTGTCTCTGCTGTTGCTAAAGTTACATAACTAATTGAAGTGTATTGAACTAACATTTTGAGCTAAATTCAGAAGTGAAGTAAGTGTGTAGACATGGAATTGTATATCTGGAACAGAAAAAGTAACTGTTTTAGAGAATGTAAGCCAGAATAGAGACAGGGTCTGCATCTTTTACTATTCTACAGGTTTCCCTTTAAACCACTATGCCACTTCTGAAATTTGGCATGTATGAATGTGATAAAACTGCAAGTATGTGTCCAATGAACATGGAGATCAGTCAGTTGAATGCTAAGACATAAACTTATAAAAATATGCATGCAAAATTATCAGCTAATAATTAAAAAAAAAAAAAAATACTGATGTCCACTTTGCCATTTTCCCTGAGAGCACTGGTGCACTCCCTGACAGCAGAGTTCCTGGGCAGTGGGGGCAGGCGAGAGCGCTGGTGCCCCCCTGAGAGTGCCAGCCGGGGAGTGTGGGCGCCAGGAGAAGCAGTCCCCCCAGGGCCAATTGCGCTCACTCGGAAATGCCAGTGGCATGCCGCTGCCATTTGCAAGTCAGTGAGATCGGCCCTGGGGGGTACCCCCCACCCCTGGTTGGCAAGATGGGCCATGGAGGACCCTGCCCCCCGATCACTGACTTCCTACTGGGGGTGCAAGTGCAGGAGGCACCAGTCGCCTATGCTGTTTTCTTCTAGCATGATGGCTTTTCCGTCTAAGGAAGGTGGATTGGAGGTGAGCTATGGTGGCATTAGGCATACAGTGTGTGGATGCCTTCATTAAAACTCAAGATCTTAAGTTTCATTTTAATTCTTTTAGTGTAGAATGAGTTGTGCAAAGCAGCAAATCTGAGGGGTAGATATGTTTTATAGAATTTTTCTAGTGCTGCAAGAACAGAAAAAAAAATTGTTCTCACCCCACTAAAACCACAGTTCATGTACCAAAAATTACATTACAAATATAACTATTGAAGGGAGGAAAATCTTTAATGTTGTTTTGAATGTACTCTGCATGATTCACCCCTGCCCCAGCCCCACTCCCTCCTGTACTGTGGGGGGGCTCAATCCCCAGCCCCTGCCTCACTCCCTCTGGGCAGATTGAGCCAATGCAGCGAGAGAGGGAGCAGAGCCAGGGCTGGACAGGGTGTGGGATGGAGCCAGTGGTTCACCTGGGAGGTGTGGGGCATGGGGACAGGGTGCAGCAACTCCTGCCACTGCACACCCCCAGAGGAGGCATGGGGGGCATGTGCCCCACCCCCCAGATCTGTACACAGGGTGAGGGGAGGCTGCCGCTGTGCATTCAGGGCTTGGGCTGCTCCAGCCTCTTCCTGGTGGCTGCACTTGGGTAAGGCGAGGTGTACCACAGCAGCGCTGGGAAGGAGGGCTATGGGGGGGCTAGAGCCACCCCAAAATTCACCGTAGCCCCCTCTGGCCTGAGTGCAGCTGCCGGGAAGGGGCTGGAGCAGCCCCAGCCCTGAGCGCACAGCAGCAGCCCACCCTCACCCTGTGTACCGATCCAGGAGGGCACATGCCCCCCCCATGCCTTCCAGAGATGCTCACAGCGGCGGGACCCTCCCACCCACTCCCTTGGATGAACCAGCAGCTCCATCCCAAGACCTGCCCAGCCCAATCCTTCCCTCACTGCGAAGGCCTCGATCTGCCCCTTCTCCCCCCTCCCCAGATAGACTTACCAACCAGATCTGCTCTCAAGGCTTCCAGGTTGCATATCAGCAATTGGATCGGTATCAGCCGATATGGCTTGTCAATAATTAGGCATTGGTATCTGCCCAAAACCATCTTTATCGGCACACCTCTAATTTTTTTTATACTCCACCCCCGCCAGCCCCATTTCCCACTTGCTCCCCCATCCCCCTCCGGCTCCTACAGCCCCCCCCCCCC